GATTTGTTTGTGCTACGAATTAATTTTGTTGTGTTTTTAATTTTATACGTTTTAATTCATTAATTATTAATGTTGGAGCATTTTAGAAAATGGGGAGAAAAGGTCCCAAAATAAATATTTACAAAATGGAAAAATAATAAGGCTCAAAAATAATTTTTTAAAGAAAAAAATCCAATCCGCAAACTGTCCGCACATCTGCGAACCCTATCCGCACAAACCGCAAACCGCATTGTGGACAGTTGCAGGTTATCTTTTTCCCAAACCACATAAATACGGGCGGGTCCAAACCGATCCGCAAACCGTCCAAATCCGAACCGTGAACAACCCTACTGGATATTGTCCTTGTTCCAATCATGGGACAACCTTTCTATAAATGAATTTTAACATTTCATAATTTAAAAATAAAAATTAAATAGCCATTAATCATGGAACCATGGATAGGAAATATTTTAAGAACTCCAATGATATGTAGCATATTTAAGATTCCTGCTTGGGGGAATAGAACAATCTAGTATTGTGATTATCATTAATTAAGTTTTTTTTTTTTTTTTTTTGATTAAAAAAAAATACTATTGCTTCAAATATGCACTAAAAATCTCAAACATACATAGAAATCAATGACTGCAAATTCTCAAAGATAATAGTAGTCATTATATGGCTTCTTTTTTTTTTTATCGACAAAAGAAATTTATATTGATGAAAAGAAGATTACATCAATAAAGAGAAGTTTGGAGGTAACAGAAGCTCTAAGTTCCAGTTGGTGAGAAACTAACAGAGCACAGCCAAAAACAACAAGCCAAACAACAAAACAAAACAGAAAAAACAGAACCAGAGAAGCACTAAGAGCAATGTTGCCTCCATAGCAAGACAGAGCAACTAAAGCTTCCACAAAACACACCTCAAACAGCTCGAACAGACAGCCTAATCTGATGCAAATTAGAGACAAAATCATGAATAGAGTGCATAAACTAAATTAAACCCCTATATAAAGTAGTCATATTTTTACACTCTTTATGACACATATAAAAACATATTTCTTATAATGTTATACATAAATTGATTTTACCTAATTTTCTTACCACTAAACAAAAGGGTAGTGCAACATTCCAAAAAAAAAATTGTGGAACGAAGGAAAAACGTGTGAACCCGTTATCTTTTATTTAGGTATACATTTTGCTTTACACACGCCCATCATTGGATGCACTCCTCATTTTTCTCGTGCATACTACTTCACGTAGGATTTCTAGTCGCACATCTCTAAAATTTGAACTTTACATTGTTTTTTCATTCATATCTTAATAATTAAATAAAAATCAATGGCTCATATATTAATTGTTGAACAAAAACCCAATTTAGGAAAATGCAAATATGTAAATAGAAACTCCCTACTTCTCACTTTAATTGAACGAAGAGACGTATCTAAACAGTAATATTACAAACTTAAATTTTTTTTTGCCTTCTCACAATGATCAACCAATGGCCTAAATTTATTTCATATCAACGATATCTATTCAATCTGTATCGCATAATCCTATCATGGGTAATTTTTAACTTATATATGGTACTTTACACAAGTTAATTATAATTTATTTTAGTTTTAAAATCCGTGACAAACGCTTACTCACTCAAAATTTTTTAGATAGATATGTGTGAATTTGTAGACTTTTCGTTGTTAACTTATTTTATTTTTATTTTTTTTGAACAGCAAAAAGTAGCCCTTTATTGATGATAATTGCTATCTATACAAATGAATTATATCAAATAAAAGAAGAGAAAATGTAAAAAGTATCAAAGCATAACCGCACAATCTCAACTATCTCGTTTGACAAGTAATTGTTTTAGTTTAACAATCAAAAAGTTATTAAAAAAATTACAAAGTTTATAACTTATATCAAAAAGTCAAAAATTTCATTTTCTCTCTATTTTTTATACATCTTTTAGTAAAAATTCAAAAAATTACTCCAAATATATTAATTTTTTTATCTCATATTTTAATCAAAAAATTAAAAAAATTATTAAAAAAGTCTATACCTATTTTTTTTTTTTTTGGGGGTGAATAGCCTATTCCTATTAACTTATTTTTAGTATGATGTTTAGAGAGGCCTACCTGTTCACACACACATAAATGGATGAGTCAAAATAGTGGTCAAAGAAGAGGGCATAGAGTGGTGGGGGTGGGGGGATCTAATACTAATACACGCCGAAAGGTACAAAGGACAGCCATCATCCAAGCAGAGTGAAAAAATAGAGACAAGAAAAGACAGGATTTGAATTGAATCTCTATCTCACAAGTCCTAAAGAAACAAACACCCCCAAAAAAGTAGAGAGAGAGAGCGCCCCTATAATCCAACACTACTAAGATGAGTTTTGTTTTCTGTCTTGTTGTATATTATTATAATTATCATTAATCTCTCTCCTAAAGTTTGTTAACTCACTTTTTGGTCAAACCATTGGCCCCCATTTACTTAAGAGCCTGTCACTTTTTCTAGAGTACAACCTTGCTTTCTTTTCTATTTGTTTTCAATTTTAGTCCTCAAATATGCTTTTTGTCAGCAAATCCAAGTGGTTCTTCACAAGGTGCTCTAAAAATCATTTTTTTAGAATTTTATAATATGCCAAATTGCAATCCCATCACCTGCACGACAACCATGTAATTTAAAAAATAATAAATAAATAAATAAATTGAAGTACACAAAGTGATATGGTGAATTATAAGTTCTGCGATTAAATTATGAATAAAGCTTCTCACCCTCAGTGGGGTGTTGGGGGTCGGTTGTGATTGGCCAGCAAAAATTGTTTTTTTTTTTTTTTCAATCATCTTCAGGCCGACACGTGACACTAAGAGTCACTAAGAGTGATTCTCACTGAAGGTCTGAAGCAAAGTTCTTAAATTATGTGTATACAGAAAAATTAATCTTTTATTACAAAAATTTATAAAACTACTTCAGTAGCTAAGGCTAAGGCTCAAGCAAGTGGCCCAGGCTCAACACATGTGACAGATAGACCCATCGATCCATCGATTGTTCTTCAAAAATTAATTATTATTATGGGAACAAATATTCCACGCTGATGTGGACTTAACACTTCTCTTAGTCAATTTGAGAATAATTTGAAAATAAACATTTTAACTTTAGTGACGCATCCTATTTTCCCTAACTAATCACTTTTCAGTTCAGTATATATTATTATTATTGGTTTAGAATTTGTCGGTATTGTAATTCATACTTTTAATCACACATTTTGGCTTTTGCACCAAGCATGAGATTTATAGGAGAAATAATTGGCACATACAATTTTAAAATCATAACAGAGATTAGCTTTTGTCATAGCCTAAAATATTTCTGTTCATTGCTCATTAGCGGGTAATTATTTTATTCATCACTCATTAATAGATAATTATTCAATAGTTTCAAAATAGTATTTGACATTGTATAATAGTGACTTTCAATCAAAAACGTAACAAAAAATTTTATAAATAAGACAAAGTTGAGTCACCTTTATTGGGTAATTGAGAGATTAACGACGATCCTCATATTATGTTTTGTGCTTCATTAATTACTAAAATATCACGTAAATAATGTTACATAATACGCTGAGACTACTAACTAAGTTTTACTTTAATTATTAAAAAGTAAATAATGGTGCATGCATTCTATAGTAAAATATAATGATGCAACTTCTCCCCAAACTTTGGTATCTTTTAATTATTTAATAAAATTTGGCTTGCTTGCCGCTCAAAAAAAGAAGTATATATATATATATAATGCCATGTTATTGCATATTTTAACCATGCATTATCATTTTAATATTGTATTCTTTCATTATTTTGTCCTTCATAATGGACTCTTTTATTTGGCACTAAATCCTCTATACTTCTAGGCATAGCAACATATTTTAAGATTTTGCATTCGAGATTTTTACATAATGCCACTACTGGGTCAATAGGATATGCGTGAGAGAATATATGGATGTGCAACCCAAAAAAAAAAAAACGTTTTACGAAACAATTAGCGATGATGTGGCCATTAGTGATTAGTAGTCTATAAATCACCTTTGTTGACAAGATAGCAATATATATATATATATATATAAGTTCTCACATATTAAACTACTTCTATAGTGCATTTACATTTACACCCAACAATGCTAGGTATTTTAATTTTAAAAACAATGTTAAGTATATAACATTACGATGTTTTGTCATAAGTCCTAATTTTTTCAATAAATAACATTAATTTTATTAACAGAAGAAAATCAGGGATGGTTTGGTATAGACTATATAAGAACATCTCTAACGTTGAATCAAAATTTTCATCAAATCTGAGTAAAAAAATGACTTTTTCCTCAATCTGATACCGAGTGCTCCAACGGTTGATTTTTATCAAATTTTCATCAAATCTGTGCCGGGATAATCGGTTGGTCGAAAGGCCAGACGACCGAGTGGTCGACCGGTTAAGCCAATTTTTTTTTTTTTTGAACTGTTTGAACCTTTTAATGGTCGACCGGTTGGTCGACCGGTAAAGCAAAAAAAAATTTTTTTTTTTCAACTGTTTAAACTTTTTTTGAAACTGTTTGAACCTTTTGGTGGTCGACCGGTTGGTCTCCCCCAACGGTCATGTACAGTATTTTAGTGAAATACGGAACCTGTCCTCCTTTTGGTGAAACGTTTAGTGAATTCTCGATTTGATATCAATTTGGTAAAATCGTTGGAGCTACAAACAGTATTTTTTTTTACCAAATTTCAAATTTGATGCTAGATTTGGTGAAGGATTATAGATGATCTAATCCATCTTTTTATCTTTTTTTCATCACATCACCTCTTTATTTTTTTATACATCTTTTCGTAAAAAAATAAAAATTATACTTTTTTAAGACACTCTAAACCAACCCTAAATATATATACGGAAGTTCAACAAAGACATCTAAAACAAGTTGTCAACTCTACACCACCCTCTCTAATTCTAAGAGAAAACAAAGCTTAAAACCATGACGAAAAATCATAGAAGGATTTTCAAGAGGCTCGACTAAGATAGATGAAAGATTACAAAAGGATTTTGTTTCCGATTATACCCCTATAAATAATGTCAGTAAAAGGAGAAAGCAAAAGTAAAAAAGAAAAGAGAACAAAAAAAAAAAAAGCAGAATGACCCTAACAAATATAACTTCAGTTAGTACAATCTTGTCACCAGCTAGCCCTGTGAAATGATTGTCAGTCCCATCTCTCTCCTCTCTCATCTATTCAAGTAAGTTTCTGACTCAACCATTACCATCTGTGCATATGCAAAGCAAAAACAACAAACCCTAATTCATGACTTTTCTTCACTATTGTCCTCTTTTTTCATTCAATGAGATCATTCCATTCCAAAAATTGGTGTCTGAAACACTGATAAATTTGGCTTAGCAGATTGGAATGAGTGAAGGGATGGTCCAACCCAGTTCCCAAAACCAGACCCTCCTTCATAACTGTCGTTACTACTTAAAGCAATGGGTGTCCCTAAAGGAATTCCACTTGAACCACTCATACTTGCACTTTGTTGCTCAAAGTAACCACCACCACCTCCACCATTGAAGAAGAACCCATTATTGTTATGCACTACATTGGTAGTAGTACTATTTGTTGGGAAGTCCATGCTAAATGGTGTTATACCTTGGAAAGTTGATGTACCATTGTTTGAACCTTGGAAGAGATTAGTTGAACTTGCACTAGGGCTTTTGGTATAACCAAGGATTGACCAGTAATCCACAGTGTTGTCGACTTGTTTGATGGGTAGTGCAAAGCTAATAGAGCTTGGAGGTTGTGATGAAAAGCTCAGTGAAGATGACGAGGAGATATCTCGGTCGTCGGATCGTCGTGTTCCTACTCCTCCGTCGAGGCTCTTGTTGTTATCGGAAGGTGAGTCCGAAGAGGTTTTGGATTTTCCGGAGATTCCTCCAATGGGAAGATTGCTATTGGCAATGCTCTTTACGTCATATCGGCTCATGTCAAAGTTGGTCACTGCATTTAGCCCTCTGAATTTGATTGCGGCAATGTCGTAGGCCTCTGCGGCTTCTTCTTGAGTGCCTGTTTTTTTAACACACAAGTACAACTTAGACATCTATACAAGTAGATAAATGACAAAACAAATCATATTTAATGATTTTAAATTAAGAATTTATATTCAAATTAAAAAAAATGCTACATTGTCTCTTAATAAAATGTTGTAGCCTCTTAAGGTAGTCTATGCATCATCCACAATCAAATAAATAATAAACCTATATTATTAAATAAAAAAAAAAATTCATTTTTTTTGTAGTTTTTATTTATTTATTGAGCATAGTCCAAGTACTACCAAAAAATGAAAAGGGAGTGTTAAAGATTCAAATTGTGTATTGTGAGTCCAAATATAAATTAAATCATAAATCAATATTTCTAGATAAAATTCAAGACAAAAATTTTGATTATGCAATATTATTTTTATCTATTTTTGCATAGTTATAAATGAAGTAAATCTATCCAAACCCTTTTCTTTTTTTTCTTTTTTTTCTTTTTTTTTGTAGTACAAAATTATCACATACACAATGATGTCATTTTTTTTAATTCTTTGTTTCAAACTAAAATCACCTCAACTTAAAAGTGCTAGTACTACATTTTTTTACATAAAAATAATGATAACGAATTATTTTCCACAAAAAAAAAATAGTAATAATAAGAAATTGAAAAATGGACTCACTGAATGTTCCAAGGTAGAGATCTTTATTGCCAGCAACTCTGCCTATTCTAGCTTGCCAACGACCATGCTGGTGGTGCCTGAAAAATATTTTAAATAAAAAAAGATGTCAATAAAAATAGTAATTCTTTTCACATAATAAAACATGCACACACACAGAGAATAAACACACCATATTCAAAACAACTAACCTTGTGACTCCTCTATAGATAGAAGCTCCTCTAGAAAATCCACTACTTTTCCTGTAAGAAAATTAAGATAAATGGAAGTTAAGATGCTAAAAAGTACTCACAAAAAGTAAATGTAAACACGAAAAATAATAGTTACCTTCGAAGAGAAGCAACGAACTCCTGCCTTGTCATGTTCTTCATCTCCTCGATCTCCTTCTCATAGTTGGATACCTTCCAACACAATCGAAAACCATGAATATTCTATACAAAGAAACTATTATACTTTTGGCAATGCTAAAAAAAACAAAAAAAAAATTAAAAAAACTCAAAAAAATACTTTAAAAGTTTTAAATCTACATATTCATCCCAAATGTGACAAAGATCATAAAGGATCAAACAGAGGTAAAATATTATAATTATTGGGTAGACAGACTTTCAAAGACAGGAAGATGTATTGCATTCTCTTTTACGAACTAACAAATTTTATAATTTTTTCTTGTTATAAATGTGACAACTATCATATTACTAAAATGGGTCTTATTTCATATTCTAAAATTTCTTCATTACATTACATACAAGTTAGTAAAATTTTATATTTTCAATAGTACACTATTTTTTTGTGAAACATTTGGAGTAGAACTAGAATAAGACACATGCAACATACTGGAAAATTTGTAGTGGTGGTCGGACCCCAGTACTTCAGGGCTGCAAGATCATAAGCTCTAGCTGCTTTCTCCTCTTTATCATATCCACCTAAAATCAAAAAAATCAAAATAAAAATAAATCCCAAAATAAATTTTAAATCTAAGAATCCAATGAGAATCTAAGCATAGAAACATATATATGATGTTAGAAGAATCTTTTGTTTGTACTGTGAAATAAAATGATGATTATTTTGATTATAATAAGGTAATGAAATTGAAAAGACCACGAAGAGAACTTACCCAAATAAACTGAAAAAATCATGATTTTGTGATAATAATAACGATCCATTGGCAGCAATGCAATCATGTGACGTCACGTACATGCCCCATAAAGAAACAACAAAAAATACATTTAGAATCTTCTCTCTCTTTGAAATGGCGCATTATAGCACAAACTACTTCCAATAATCTAATGAGCACCCACGGTTTTGATTACCAGAAGATCTGAGCTTCATTTCAATCACTCAGTCACTCAGATCTCTTGGACCAGGATAAGTGGTACACCCCACCGGTGCAAATTAGCAAAACTACAAATAAAAACCCTAAATGGCCATACCTTGTCTTCCTTTCCGACTTTGCCCTTCTCTTCTGCAACTATTATCCCACAAATGAGCTTCATATCTACCAGTCCATCTATGTCTGAATCGACCAAACACAGATTTTGTAGTCAATTTTTATTTACAACGCTATTGAGTTTCATATAAATACATACATATATGTATATAGTCCGTTTGTTCAGCTATTATCAGGGTGATAAAAAAAAATTTAACGGTTCAAATTTTGATTTCATTAAATTTTTCAACCAAACTCAAATAAGCTTCTGTCAGTGCCGAACTCGAGTAAGTTTGATATTTTTGATATAATTTTAAGTTTATTGAACTGAACAAACAATTGACTGTTTAACCTTTTTAAATCGATCTCAAACGAATTTATTGATATTTTTATATAGCTTTAAGCTTATGGAATCGAGCCAAACGAGCAACTCATTGTTCAAGTTTAATTTAAAAACTTTAACAAATTCCAAAAGAGTTCAAGATTGACGTATTTAATTAGCGAAGTGAGTTTAGATACGGGTTCGTTTATCGAACGTAGTTCGCTATTACTTTACCTGGTGACTCCTCGGTAAATAGAGGTACGTTGGCCGAAGGTGTCGACAGCCTTCTTCGCCGCCGGTTCAGGTGGCGGCGCCACCGCCAGCTGTTTCTGGGCATCAGTTGGATCGGTGGAAAACCCACGTAGAAAGCTCGCAGCGATGGTTTTCAGCTCCGAATCATATATCTCAGTTTCACAAACACTCGTCGGAGCTTCACCAGTAAACTGACACAAATCGGTTGTTCTCGTAGCTCCGCCACCAAGAAAGTCCTCCAGTTTCGGTCCTCCTCCGCCGCCGCTTCCGCCGGTGAGTATGGACAGCTCAGTTGCACCACCCCTCACATCTTCTTCAGCTCTATCAACAACCCCACCTACAAAAAAACAAAAAATAACAAACTTAAAGCTCATAAACTCATCATGAGCTCTGTTTAGAGAGAGAGAGAGAGAGAGAGGGGATTACTGGGGTTGTTGGAGGTGGTGTTGAAGGCTTCAAAGAGAGAGAGGTGAGAAGAGTCATGAGAGGGAATATGGTGATTGGAAAGAGAGAAGGCAAGCCAGTTTTGAGAAGAATCCATGTCGTCGGTGAGCGTGAAAGAGATGGGTTTTCTTTGGGAAACAGCGTAGTAGCAGTTCTAGAGAGAGAGAGACACAGAGGAGAGAGAGGGTTTAAACTGAGGATGAAGAAGTGAATGTAAAATGTTATTGAGGATTGACACAGATATAGAGGTGAAGAAGAAAAAAAAAACAAAAGAAAGAGAGAGAGAGAGAGGGGGGTGAAGAAGGTGCACGAGGATCGAGGAGTCTATCTTTCTCTCCCCTTGAAGGTAATGGTTTGAATAATAATTATTATTAGTACGTAATAAATATAATTTATGTATATGTATGCATATCAATAATGCAGAGCAAAACAAGTGGAAGCATTTCATGGGATGATTGGGCGGTCTCTCTCTCTATCTGTCCCTCTTTTACAGAAGAAAGCAACATATTTCAAGTAAGAAAATAATGGCATAAATTAAATTATTAATTATTTTATCAAATACTTATATAGATTCTGGACTTTTGTGTGTAAGTTTCCTACTAGTAGGTTTTTTCTCAAATTCACATATGGTTATTTTGTAAATGATTTATTTTTGAGTTATGTTAGGGATTTTAAATAAATAATTAAATGTTTGTGAGAGGTTTGATAAAATATTTGATAATTTATTTGGAGTCTTTAGTATTTTTCTTTATTTTTTAATTTTTTTATTAGGTAAATATTAATAAGTGTTTTTTAAGTATTGTTTAATTTTGTGAAGTGTGTTAAAAGTATCATAAAAATATTTTAAAAAATGTATTAATTTCAATAAAAATGTATTGAAATTAATGAAAAATGTATTGTATTTTATAAACATTTTTGTGTTTGGTTTGTATTTGTAGAGTAGTTTTTGAGATAAAAAGTACGAAAATTTGTTTGGTTTGTCTTTTTCAAAAGTCTTTTTCAAAAATGGTTTTGAAAAATTATTTTGGGGAGAGAGTTTTAAAAAAAAAAGTGATTGATTTGATGTGTATGAGAGAGTGATTTTGGAAAGTAGGTAACCAAACAAAATTTTGAGATTTTTTTTGAAAAATTTGTTTGGTTTGACTACTCTTGAAAATTTGTTTGTAGAGAATTTTTCTCAAAAAAAATTTCGAAAAACAAACCAAACAAGCCCTTTGTATTTTACTTCATCCTAAAGACACTTAAGGTGTGTTTGTTTGGACGGACTGGATATATTGTCCCGGGACTATTTGGTTGGATTAAATTTGTATCCTATGTTTGTTTAGTCATGGGATTAAATGTCTGGATTAGACTATTTTTAGTTATCCAATGTTTGTTTGGGATATTATGGAGAAGGATAAATGCTCAAATGACTATTTTATCCTCTTCAATTATTTACTAAATAATAGCAATATTAAACATAGCTTTAATATTTTAATTATTTTTAACTAGATTAAATAAAAATTGTTTTATTTTGTTTTTTGCACAATATTTTAATTTATTATTTTCAACTAAATTAAATTTATAATTTATAATTTATATTTTTTATTTAATATATAATTTTAAATTACCGACAATAAAAAAATATTTTATTTAATATATAAATTAAATTTTCAACAACACTAAAAAAATTTAATTTATAAGGCCATAATTTATAATTTATTATTTTTAATTAAACTAAATTTATAATTAAAATTTTTTATTTAATATATAATTTTAAATTAACAACACTACAAAAATACTTTATAAATATTCAAAATATTATTTTATCATTTTCTAATTGTTTGCTAAGTAATAGCATGAAGGGTAAAATGGACATTTTACAAAATAATCTCATGGGATACCAATCCCATGGTTTCTATCCCACCCTCTCCCATGAGATAGGATAGTCCCATATTTGTAGGACTAATAGGCCGGGGAGACTATTAGTTTAGAGCAAAAAAAATGAAACAAACAATAGACTATTAGCCCAGTGGGATTAATAGTCCAATCCCATCCCCTAATCTTTCAAAACAAATACACCCTTATTAGCAACACCTATTTGTTTATTATGAAAAGACATAAAAATAATAATAAAATGATGTGATAGGAATAAGCCAATAAATTTGGGATATCCCCAAAAGACGCTATAGAGTTTCATGGCACGCGAAAACCATTACGAATTCCGTTTTGATGATATAAATCATTTATATTATAAAATTCTTTATATATATTATTAATTAAAAAATAGATTAATATGATAATTATAAATTTTTTATTTTATTATGTTTGTTTTCAAATAAATGAATCATATATTTTCAAAATATATTTATCGTCTATTTTTTTAAAAGCAAATTCAATAAAACAAAAATATTATAATTATATACCAAATCAATTTAATTTTTTTTGCCTATAAAATAAAATGTTTGAATATTTGAAACCTATGGTAGGTCCCACAGGTTTCGAATTTTTCCTCTAAGTTGAGATGTGAAGCCTAATTCTTCGTACAAATATGAACAATTGTTAAAATAGTTGATAGTTTAATTTGTAATGGTAGCAAAGCTTTTATTTTAAAGGAGAAAAATTATATTTTGTTATTAGGAAATATACAAATGGGATTTTAACTTCAACTTTAATGGTCAAAATAGTGGGATTTGTGTCAATTTTTCAATTTTATTGGTCAAAATGGTGAGATTTATCACTTTTGTAATTAGATACCAACATTCACATGATAAATATCTCAATGCGGTTGTTGGCATCCAATTACAAAAGTCATATTTTTTATTTTTAATGATTGTTTTTAAATTACATCAAATTTTTTTTATTTCTCAAATTTATCTTGTATGGACCAATTTAAAAAGTAAAGAAAAATTCAAAGAAAGTCTAAAACATCAGTTGTTTTTTATTTTTTGTTGTCATTTCTTAATTTTTTATTTTTGAGTAAATTACACTGACATCTCATGAGATTTATGTTTATTGGAATTCTCCCTTTACCTTTTGAAAATTACATCTCCCCCGTAAGATTTAAAGTTTCATTACAGATTCCCTCCTTCAGCAATTTAATTTTTTTAAATACTAATTTTGCCCTCATTGGATAAAATACATTGACACCCTCACATTTTAGAAATTACAATCCTCTCCCTAAGGTTTAAAGTATCATTACCAATTGCCCCCTCGGTTACTATTAGTTGGAAAAAAAAATTCATTGAAAAAAAAATTAATTCAAAAAAAAATTAATTGGAAAAAAATTTTGTTAGTAAAATTTTTAAATTTCTGTTTAAAAACCAACGTAAGCTCATTTTTTGAATTTACGTTTTTTCCTCAAATTTACAAACTGAGACAACCTTTTATAAACCAAAAAAATTATCAAACAAATTCTTATGACCGTTTTTAAAATTTTTGTAAATATAAATTGAAAACTAAAACGAAATGGTTACCAAACAGGCTTGATGGTAAAAATGTCGTAAAATTAACAAATAATTAAATAACTTACCAACGTAAGAAATGACTTATCAAAATATTTTTATGTTATGTATGGTTTGATTTTTAGAAAAAAAATTTAAAAATTAAAAATTATTTGGTTAAGAAATATTCTTAGGCTATGTACCACCAAACACATAATATTTTTTACTTTTCTATTTTTTATTTATTAACCAAATTAATTTTTAATTTTTTTTAAAAAAATTCTAAAAATCAAACCATATATAGCCTAAGAATCTTTTGATAAGTCATTTCTTATATTGGTAACTTATTTAATTATCAGTCCTGTTGGGGACCCCAGTGGGGTGACCCCAGCACCTCCACCTCCACGTGGGGGTCTGTGACTTGCACAAAAAAAAAAATTGAGCCAATCACAAAAAAGTGGGGTGCTGGGGTCCAACTCATTTTCCTTTAATTATTTGTTAATTTTACGACATTTTTAGCATTAAGCCTATTTGGTAACCATTTTGTTTTCAGTTTTCAATTTATATTTACAAAAATTTTAAAAACTGTCATAAAAAATTGTTTGATAATTTTTTTGGTTTATAAATGGTTGTCTCAGTTTGTAAATTTGAGAAAAAAAATGTAAATTCAAAAAATGAGTTTACGTTGGTTTTTAAACAGAAATTTAAAAGCTTTACTAACAAATTTTTTTTTCAATCAATTTTTTTTTTCAAATAATTTTTTTCCAATTAAATTTTTTTCAATGAATTTTTTTTCCAACTAATACTAACCGAGGGGGCAATTGGTAATGCTACTTTAAACCTTAGGGAGGGGATTGTAATTTCTAAAATGTGAGGGGTGTCAATGTAATTTACCCATTGAGAGCAAAATTGGTATTTAAAAAAATTAAATTACTGAAGGGGAGAATCTATAATGAAACTTTAAACCTCAGGGAAGATATGTAATTTCTAAAAAGTGAGGAGAGAACTATAATAAACATAAACCTTATGAGGTGTCTGTGTAATTTACTCTTTATTTTTTTATTTTTTCGATCAGTACAGACAAATAAATTTTAAAAGTGTAAAACATTTTAAATTTTCAAAAAAAAAGTTACTCAGGGCAGGAAGAAGAAAAAAAAAAAAAAACTCACTATGTTTGGTTTGAGTTTTTTGGATTAAGTTTTTTGAAAATTGAGTTTTTTGGTTTTCATATTCTTTTGTTTTTAGTGAATATTTTTTAAATTTTAAACATTTTTTTTTACTTTTTTAGATGCACCTTAGTTAGATGTATCTAAAAAGTAAAAAATTTGTGAAAAAATATTTTAAAAAATTAATAATACGTAGAAATATAAAAAATGTACTGAATTCTTATATTTTTTTATATTTTTGATATTTAGTGAATTTTTAAAAGATTTTTTTATAATTTTTTTACTTTTTAAGTGTATTTATGTTAGGTGTGTTTAAAAAATAAAAAAAAATTACTTAAAATATTAAAAAAATTCAATAAAAATAAAAAAATACGAAAAATAGGAAAATAGAATTTTTTGAAAAATATTTTGAAAAACTGGTAACCAAGCACATCCACCTCAAACACCTTAGAGAGAGAGAGTGACTGAAGTGTTTGTTTGTGGGGAAGCAAGAGTGAGGGAAAGGGGACACGATGACCCATACCATACGGGTGTAATTTTATACACGAATAGGGTATATATGATACGATACTTTTCATTATTATAATTAATTTTAACAGTATAATTTATTATATTTTGATGATGTATCGGTTCCCGGGTGGATGGGTCGGACCGGCCCAGGCTCTTC